CCAGCCAAGGCGGCTACAGCAAGCCCTGCAGTCCCAGCAAAGCCTCAAGCAGCGCAGCAGCCTGCAGGAACGCCAGCCAAGGCGGCGGAAGCATCTTTGACCGCAGTCAAGCCAGATGCTAGCCGTCCAGCTGCATCCACACGCTCCGTTGAGCAGCCGGTAACATCGACGACGACGGCCCCACCCACGACTCGTGCTCGCTCGACGGCGCAGACTGACCGGCCGCCCATGCCGAGCAATCGGGATTCGGGCAATTACGACATGATCGACCTAGACCTTTATCTCACGTCAATTCCAACACCTCCAGCGCGTCCCCCTGTGGGCTACACTTACCCTCCAGGGTGGCTTGATGGTGAGGCCAGGTATGGACCTCGAGTTGGTCAGAGTGGCAAGCTCATGCAATACCTGCCTTCCAGATGTCAAGCTATTCAAGGGCTTGGACCGATCAGGAGTCAAGGCCCAAATCGAAAAGTTGCGGAAGATCTATAGTGATCAGCTGAACAGCGTCGCCGGCGTCGATCTCAAAAAGGCGATGAGCAATTTTAGCGACGCCACTGGGATGGTCTTCCCTCCAAACGACCTGCAGCATCAGGACGAACGTCGACCCCAAATGGACTGGGATGAAAGCACCTTTGGAGCGCTCGCTGCCGGCGTCTGTGCCCTCAATGAAAGCGTCAAGACTGCTATCCAGGCCTTTGGCCTTGAAGGCAAACAAGTGAAGAGTATCGACTACTCTGACTCCCAGAAGAACATAGGGGGTGTCTATGGCACTCGTATAGAGTTGTACAAACAGGACATGAGTGGGCAGTACTTCGCACCTCGACCGGGATTCGCTATCAGACGCAATTCCCTCCAAAATGAGGCCGACTTCTCAACCGTGACAAGATACATCGCAGCCACCAATGACGAACCGGACGGCGATGCCAGCTATCCTGTGCTGGCACACCGCATGGGGGTCGCATTGCGAAAAGACGCACAGGGAAAGGAGAGCGTGCAGCCGGCACTGCTAAAAAAGGCTGCCAATTACATGTACGGATTGACCCTTCACGAGCTTGGCCACTTTTCACAGTATTGCAACGCCCCTGTGTGGGACCTGGAAGTCAAGAAAGCCAAGCACCAGTCTCGATTTTACAACGAGCTGACTAAATTGGCACTCGCAAGAGGCCAGGCTGAGCCCTCATACTGGTGTCGCGGCAAGACACAGACCATTTCGAAGCACCTATACGACGTGGGCTGTCAAATTTCAGAGGAGGCTGTTGCAGCGACCAACTGGCACGATCAAGTTGGTCTCGAAGCTCCGTTCAAGAAGCTTAGCCAGTGGTTTCCGAAAGGGGCCAGCGTGCGCAACGCAGTTGGCAATACCATTTTTGACAAGTACGACTTCGACGAGCACGTCGAAGGTGCAGCGCTCAAAGAGTACAGGGTCGAGCTCGAGAATGCCAAGATCTCCGCTACAGAGGAGGAGAAGTACGTACAGAAGCTGATCAATCTGGTCAACATTGCTAAAGAGTGGGTTGAGCTGCGTATCAGCTACGAGTACCAGCTCTCGAAGCAAGCTTGCAACCTCGTCAACCTTGTCAAAGTGTTGGATGCAGCGCACAGGGGCGACACGACCATCCAGCCTCCCCGCGGCTTGGACGTCGTCGTCGAATTCACGTGGTACTTGAGACAATTTTATGATACCGCGCAGAAGAAGACTATCGCGGCTATCGGCGAAGAGCTCAAGAAACCCCTCTCAAGGGCTGCTGGCAAAGAAGAGGTTGAGCGCCGTCAGTTGATGAATGCCATCTGGCAAGATGTATACCCAGACTTATTCAAAATCAATCAGCTGAAGACCAGTCAGACTGACCCCGATGAGCTTCAAAGGCTCGAAGCTCGACGCTATGAGCGAGTCTTTGCATTCGGTGAGTGTATCGAATCAATATCGGGTGCCGGCCTCACGGACTCATCAAAGTTTGCACTTGCACGCACATACTCAGGCGCTTCTCAAAAGTTCTTCAATCGTTTCGCCATGGAGTTCCACGCTGAGCTTACCAAGGTATCTAAAGGCGCCCCGGAGGAGTTTCTGCTCAATCCGGTCCGGGACCAGAGGCAGGTCGGCGCCGCGTCCTTAGACAAAGATTTGGATTGGAGGCTGCCTCGCGACAAGGAGAGTCGCGGGAAATGCCCCACGGAGAAGCAGCTGGGCATCTTGTTCGAGTATTCTATAAGCGATCGCCATTTGTACGACGGTGACAAACCGGCCGTCTTCCCTGCAGATCCGTACGAGGCGTTTATTGCAAGACCAATTTGGGCGCCCAAGCCCAAGGTTCCTTGAAAGCTCGTCATTTCAGACGACGCTCTGTTGCGAACGTTTTCATCACGCCACGTCCCCGCTCAAGCCGTTTCAAAACCGATCTCCCAGCCAAGCTGTTCGAGTGTCCATCCTGCCGCAGTAGAATTTTCCTTCGACCACGCAACATTGCACAGACGTGTGTGCTTGCCATTTTCCTTGTGCAGCGTATCGATCCTCTTCACTTCTTCGTCTGTGAGCGTGATCAGCGTGATGTTCTGCACCTGCCGCTCAGGGTTCGTCGATCGCGGGTTGACCGAAAGGCCGCTGGCGATGGCCCAGGCGAAGATGACTTGAGCTACCGTTGCGTTGTGCGAGGTGGCTATAGAGTTGAGCAGGTCGTCCTTTAGCAGCGGCGAATTGGACTGTCCGAGGCTGTCACGCGCATATTCATGTTAGCAAAAGAAAACAAGAAAAGGCTCGAGCAAGCCGCAGAGTGTGCACTCACGGGCTGTAAAGAGAGGTGTGAATCTTGCGCTCGTTGCTCCACTGCACTAGCTCGGCTTCTGGGAGGTATGGGTGGCCTCTGGCGATAGTGGGAAGGCGTCAGCGAGTCTGCCACGCATGCTAAGCGGCACTGTTGCTCACTCACTCGATTTGGTTCACTGCTGGTACCACCTCTGCATGCTTCAAAAGCTCCGTAAAGGTCTTGATCGAGAACTATCGCGAGCGCGCCCAACGTGAGATGCGCAGACGAAATGCCAGAAACTGCTCGGCGCGCAAACTCACGTTGGAAACACCGATGGCTCTGACTTTTCCATTTGACGCTTTGTAAGCTTTCTCCATCTCTTTCCATGTGCGAACATAGTCTGGAAGCTCATTGCCCCTCGGCTGATCGGAGAAAAGGGCGCCGGTGGATGGGTCCACACCCTGTGGCCAGTGCATCAGGTACAGATCGATCTGACCTCCGAGCTTTTCCAGCGAGCGAGAAAGAGCGCCAGCGACATCGTGGTGTCTGCAAGTCGAGAGAGGGAGAGAGAGGGAGAGAATGGCAGTCTGGTATGAGCATTGGCCTGCGCATCCATTGGCTCGTTGCAGCACTCGACACTGACTCTGAATTTGCAAGCTTGGCTACGAGCGTGGCGAAAGGAGTGAGCGATTGTTACGTCTGTCTTCAATCGATTGGCGCACGCTGCTCACTCGTGACAAAGAGCTGATCGCGAGGAAGTCCCGACTCGGCAATAACTTGCCCCACGATGGCTTCGTTCTGCAGTGAGGAAAGACTGTTCAGCTTAGTCCTCAAAGGCAAAAGATTGCTGCGTCGATGCGTACCTTGTACTGTGTGGCGGTATCCAAGCCTCTGTAGCCGTTGCGGATGGCCAGATCTAGATTCTTGCCTTCGCCCTCAAAGTCACCCTGCCAGCAGCCCATTAGCACGGCCGGCATCTTGACCCCATTGTTGAGCGTAAAGTACGGCACAGGAGCGGCCTTGGGGGTTCGTGATGAGGGATGGGACATGTTTGCAACTATCTGTTTAATTGATAGGGTTGATGAATGGGAATGCTTT